CGCCGAGGAGGGGGCGGCGGCGGCGAGCGCCTGGGGAGGGGGAACGGGCAGCGCCGTGTCAGCCGGGCCCCCCCCTTGCCGCCATCTTGGCCCCCCCTCTTCGCGGCGTCCGCGGGGGCCCCGCCCACCTTCTCCCACGCTATTGGCCCAGGCGGGGCTGAGCGCAGCCCCGTTTAGACCCGCAAAGCCTTACGTTGCTATTGGCGGTGGAGCTGGGATGGACGGCGGCGACAGCCAATAGACTTCTGGTGCTGCCTGCGCTCTCTCTCGCTCTCCCCCGCCCTGGTCCCTTTCTCCTTAGGGACTTTTTTCGCTCCGCGGGGGGCGGTGGGCCCGCCTGGGCAGGGCCCGGTGCTGAGGGCCGGCGTAGCTCATCGCACGCACCCGCCGCGCCTTCTCCTCCGTCGGGAGCGGCATTATTTTTGTCCGGGTCCCTGCTGTGTCTTGACCCAGATCGCTGACTGCTGGCTGGGGCTCCCTGCAGGGATCCCGGGGCCCTAGCTGCACAGGGGAGCTCCTGAGAGGAGCTTATGGCATGTCGTGGTTCCTTCAGAGTGCTGCTAGGGACAGGCACAACTCGTGGCGTGTCGTGGTTCCCTCAGAGCACTGCTGCTAGGGACAGGCACAACTCGTGGCGTGTCGTGGTTCCCTCAGAGCACTGCTGCTGAGGCCAGATGCGGCTTATGGCATGTTACGGTTCCCTCAGCTGCTGCTGAGGCCAGACACAGCTTGTGGTGCATGGCGGTTCTCTCGGAGCACTGCTGAGGCCAGACACAGCTCGTGGCATGCACGATCTGTTGCTGAGCCCAGACTTTACCTTAAACTTCATCTGCAGCCTGACATATTGGCTCACACCCTCCCTGCTCCGGAGGGTTTCCGCTCCTGCGGTGTGGCACATGTCCTGGTGTGTGCCACAGCTTGACTTGATTACAGAAATATCAGGGGGTTGATAAAATTCTCTGTGTGTGCCAGGGCAGGTGCTGGGTTGACAGCTCTCCGTGACTTCTGCTGAGCACTGACACACTTCATTGTAGGCGTCACTGTGGGCATGAGGAGCATAAACCCTCAGCAGACGTGTGGAGTGAATATGGGCCTGTGGAAAGCACGGACATGATGGGAGCATGGAGGGACATCAGTGAGGGCGGCAGGAGCTTCGCCCAGCATTTTTAGTTGGCAAAAGAAAGGTGGAAAGGGGGCTGTGACTGTTCCAGGCTGTTTCTTTCATGTGGCATTCATTGCCTTTATGTTACAGACATGTTCCTTGAATAGCTCCGTAGGTGTCTGTTCCCCACTGCGCAGGAAGGGGTTTTAAATCCCAGCAAACAGCAACAAGTGGCTGCCCGGAGCTGCATGGCTGCCAGCATGGGACAGCAATGAGGAGGAACGTCTCCAGACCTCATGTTTGACGTGGTGGCCTGGAGAGAGGCAGTTTCCGGTAATGCCGGAACCCAAACTTTTTAGGGCTGTATGAGCTGTAGCCAATGCTGATAATCACGGTGTGCCAAAATGGAACGAGAGCCATGTTGTTCCCATTTGCTGCTGCCCGCTGAGGTCTAGGTGGCCTTCTTCCTGCTCCAAATCACTGAAGATCTTGATCGTCGAGGGACCTAGCTGTTCACTGGGATCCCCAAGCCATGCTGGAAAGAGCCAGGAAACTCCCCCAGCAGCACTGCCTTGAGCTCCAGCCTTGTGTCCTCTGCAGGTTAGCAAGCAAACCTGGTGCTGTAAAGAAAATCCTTGGTTGTTCAGCGTGGGAAGGCTGGAAAGAAGGACTGCGGTGGAAAGGAGGGGTGGGAAGGAGACTGAGGTCTTCTGCGGTGCGAGAGGGTACCACTGACCCTTGGAAATGGCCAGCGCAATGTTGCATGGATGTAAATCACGAAAACTTTTAGCCTGCCCTTTAGGGGATTCACTTGTGCTGGATTTTCCAGGCTGCGTGTATAATAGGGGCCTGTATTGTGATGTTGTTTGATACGTGGATCTCTAGTTTTTTTCGGTGGAGCTTTTGACTCCTTTGTAGTAAATTTAAGTCTCCTGATGACAGGCCTGTTTTTTTAGTCACCTTTTGCAGCCCCCCAGGCATCTCTGGCCCACGGGTGTGAAAGCTGCTGCTCAGGAGAATTGAACTGCTCCTGAGTGAACTCCTGGGGTAGAATTAAGTTCGTCCTCAGTGGCTTTGTGGGTTGTAGCTATGTTGTTTGCTCAGTTGTGCTCTCTAGGAACCTCACCCCCTGCTCCTGGCGCAATATCCAGCGGAAATGGATGATGGGAGGTTTTTGGAAAGCCTTGAGCACACTGTGGCGACGACTGTTTGAACTTTCTGCTTTCACATCAGCAACCTTTGTCCATGGTGGGACAGAATCAGCATGGGCTGAAATAGCATTTAACCCCACTGAAGTCAAGTCTGTTTAGCATTTCAGCATGCATGGGTACTGTTTGCTGAGGGATTCTTTTTTATCCATGGCTGGGAGGTGTTTTCAGGTGTGTCAAGAAGATCAGAACATTCCTAGATTACTGTTTAGAAGTTTCTGTTGTTGCAGACAAGGTCGCAGTGTTCAGCTCAGTGTGTCTGAGTTCATTTCATTGCTGCTTTCAAGGTATTTTGGAGGTGGGTAGCTGTGTCTCTCCTAATATCCAGGTGCATGTCTTATCCCAGGCACTCGGCTCTCACTGGCAGCAATTTCCATCCTGTTTTAGATGCTTCTGCATAGTGCTAAGTAATTGTGTGTTTTACAAATGGGTTGTTTTGTGACAGTTGGTTGCTGTAGTGGAAAGCCCACTTTGGGTAATTTCTCTAGACAATATACTGATTGTTTCACTAAAGCAACAGGAACTCCATACACTTGTTTCTCCTGTCAACAGGTAAAATAACCCTTCTTTCAGGTGCTTGTTTTGCTGAAATTTGCTCGTCCCTCTGCACTCCCAGCAACTGGCTAATGCCAGCTCATGCTAATTACTTTATCCTCCAATATCTTTTTTGCTCATATATCTTTTTTCCTCCAGTATCTTTTTTGCTCGTACCTGCCTGGACTGTAAGACAGTTGTTTGTCAGCAGGATTTTCTAGTTTTTCCATTTGATGATCAAGTTGCCTTTATACCCTTACTTTAAAATTCTTTTTTTCCTACTGATTGAAACCATTGGAGCTCAACTGGGACAAGTGCAGTTGGGTGTCTGCAGTCTGCTGATCAAGCGGCTGATTAGAGTTTTAAGAAAAAAGGTCCTGAAATTTGTGGTACCTATCTTTGCAGGTGGAAATTGTCATCTCACGTTTTGCAACTGAAATTAAATTGTGCCTACAGGCTCCATCACTGTGGGTGTGCGTACTGAAACTGGCACCTGCAGCTTATTTCTGTGGATGCAAAGGAGAGTTTGGAAACTTTTCCCAAAGCCTGTTTGTTTCTTAGGACACATGTTGTATCATCGCTTAATCTTGTGGTTCACCAAGCCAGTACTTTCAAGAGAAATGTGTTGCTCCTGGAATTTGTTGCACCTTTCTGGAATAAGCTCAGGGCTTCTTGTAGGTCCTGGTCCTGTGAGGTGCTGCTTGCTCTGCCCCACATGATTGAGGGTTTGTGGAGCTGTGTCCTTCACAGAGCAGAAATAATGCAATGGCTAAGTAGGAATTACGACTTTGCAGTGTCTTTTCTTGTCTGCGGGTCCCACAGAAAGGGGCTGAAAGTGTGGATTGCTGTAAGGGTGAGGTGCTGATTCAGGCTTCTGCATAGCAACAGATAAGCTCTGGGCTGACTTATCTTCTCAGGGAGATTTTACATTTGCTTTTCTTTGTCTCCTCTCCCTCTTCCCTCAGCTTGTTTCTGCCCCAGCCCATTTCTTCTCATAACTCATGTTCCCATCCCTGACACTGCCCTCCTCACTTGCATTACTCACTTGGCTTCCTTTCCGCTTTCCCTCTTCGCTGCCTTCCTCCTTCGCCCTCAGATCACTGGGCTCCTGCCTCCACGTCTCCATCCTCCCCCAGCTCATCTTGCTGGCTCCAGGCTTCTGCTTCGCTCCCCCTTGATGGGCACCTCCTTAATGTTAGGAGCCGACTCTCAAATGATTATCTGGGTTGCTGATTAGCAGTTTGTGAGGACAGAGCTGGCTTGGGCTTTTCATTAAGGCTCTGAGCAAATACCACGGCATTGCACAGTTCCTGGTGCGTTCTGGAAGCTGTCTTGCTGCTTTCCTGCTCGTACCCCCATGCACCAGCAGAACCAACTCAGGTGCCTGAACACGGATTGTGGTTCCAGGGGGGCTGACGCTGAGCCGAAACTAGTAAGTCCATCTGGATCCATGCTGCTTGTTCCCGTGCTCATTCCCCTTTGCTTCCTCATGGATCCCACCAAAGAGCAGAAGGGATGCACATCTAGCACCCACTTCTTTTCTCTGTTCATCCTCTGGTTCTGTTTGGGCTTTTGTGACCCATTTTGCATGTTGGGAAGGACACGGTCCGCTCAGTGCACACTGTCTGGAGAGGGGTGTAAGGAACAGCTACATCTGCAAGGGAAGGGAAAGCAAAGCTGGAGGATGGTTTTTCATTACAGGATTTTTGCATCCACAGTGTGGGAAAGGAAGAAGAAGAGGTGGTGGCAGCCCTGAGGTGGGAAACTTGGAGGAGCTCCCTCCTGGACTGAGGGAGCACTGCTAGTTTTCTTATATGGAGCTCAGTGACAAAAAAAATTGGGAACTGCTTTCATAGGACAGGAACAGCGCTTTCCTTTCCACCTGGAAAACATCCAGCACACTTTGTGTGTTACTGGGGATATAAAAAAAAAGCCACAGGCAGAAGAACAGAGAAGAACTCCTTGGCTTGTGTGAACTTAGTATTTGAATGGTGCAAGCAGATGTGATAAGTGCTATTTGAATTTCGGGGGATCTGAATGATTTGCTGAGCTGGATGCACAGCAGAGTGTTTGGATGCTATGCTGTAAAATTAATTTGAGCTCTTCTCATCTGGTGTTATGGGGGGTATATACATCTCCTGACATGCAAATAGAGAAGGTTGGAGGGTGCTGTGCATTGCTCTGATACACATTGTAAGAAGTGGTTGATATATCCATTACCTGCTTGTATCTAAGAAGGTGTAAAGACTCAGCAAGCCTGAAATTGCTGGAGTCTCCAGTAGAAATATTGCTCTGTTGCAATGCTGAGTGAGTTTTTGAACCTGTGTTGCTCCTTGCTCGTCTCCTTGGCTTACACTGTCCTCTATCCTGTTTTGTTACAGGGTCTCTGGACTGCAGCGATGAGGAAGCCTCGGAGGAGGTCCCGGCAGAACTTGGAGGGGAGACGTTCTCCCTCGCCCTACAGCCTCAAGTGCTCACCGACTCGGGAGACACTGACATACGCTCAGGCCCAGCGGATCGTGGAGGTAGATATTGATGGGCGGCTTCATCGCATCAGCATCTACGATCCCCTAAAAATCATCACAGAGGACGAGCTGACTGCCCAGGACATCACCGAGTGCAACAGCAACAAGGAAAACAGCGAGCAGCCCCTTTTCCCTTCCAAATCTAAGAAAACACCTTCCAAAGGCAAGAAGAAAGAGTCCTGCTCCAAATATGCACCAGGGACATCTTTACACTTACCCCAGCCCAACTTCCGCGTGGTGGACTCCTTCAGCCAGCCAGATGCCCCTCCTCTCCCTGCCGCCTACTACCGGTACATTGAAAAGCCTCCTGAGGACCTCGATGTAGAGGTGGAGTACGACATGGATGAGGAGGATCTGGCATGGCTGGAAATGGTCAATGAGAAGAGAAGGGATGATGGTTATGGGACAGTTTCTGCTGACACTTTTGAGCTGCTGGTGGATCGGTTGGAAAAGGAGTCGTACCTCGAGAGCCGGAACAACGGGGGTCAGCAGTCCCTCATCGATGAGGATGCCTTCTGCTGTGTCTGCATGGATGATGAGTGTCACAACAGCAATGTCATCCTGTTCTGTGATATCTGCAATCTGGCTGTGCACCAGGAGTGTTATGGCGTGCCCTATATCCCTGAGGGGCAGTGGCTTTGCCGCTGCTGCTTGCAGTCCCCTTCTCGCCCTGTGGATTGTGTCCTTTGCCCGAACAAAGGTGGAGCCTTCAAGCAGACCAGCGATGGCCGCTGGGCTCATGTGGTTTGTGCCATCTGGATCCCAGAGGTCTGCTTTGCAAACACTGTGTTCCTGGAGCCCATTGAAGGGATAAATAACATCCCCCCGGCTAGGTGGAAGCTCACATGCTATATCTGCAAGCAGAAGGGCATGGGAGCTGCTATCCAATGCCACAAGGTGAACTGTTACACTGCCTTCCACGTCACCTGTGCCCAGCGGGCTGGTCTCTTCATGAAGATCGAACCCATGAGGGAGACCAGCATCAATGGCACAACATTCACCGTGCGCAAGACTGCCTATTGTGAGAGTCATTCCCCACCTGGGACAGTGAAAAAAGGGTCTCCAGCTGCTAGCATTGAGAGGCCGGAGGACACTGTGAAGGAGGAGGAAGAGGAGGAAGCCAATTCTGGCCCTCCCAAAGGGTCTCTGAAAAAGAACCAAGTGAAATTGAAGCAGAAGATCAAAAAGGAGCCTGGTGATGTGACCGATGGGCATTTGTCTGTGCCCATGGTGACAGTCACACAAATCCCCTCTTACAGGTGAGTGTTGCAGATTTAGGGAAGGAGCTGGATAGCTGGAGCTGGACAGGGTCTGTTTTGAGGACTCGGTCCGTCTCTTTGTTGACCTTGGAAACACTGAATCTTCTTCAGTCAAGACCTAGCCATAACTGTGTTCAAAGAGTGCTCTGCAGAATCATTCCTGACCAGTGTTCTTCCATGTGAGTGTTGCGGCACACTGAAGTTTCCCTGCTTTGCTGAGCAGCCGTCCCAAACTGTTGTGTAATGCAGAATCTGTGGGGGTCTCTAACGGCAAACACTCGTCTAGCATCTGAATTCACATAGATGGCTGTGAAGGTGTTTTTAAAATACTTCAGGCATTACAGGTTGGCAGGCAGATAGGGGTCATCCCACCATTAACATTTTTTTTTAATCTCCTCATTTCATAGTTTCTTAATTCCTCCTTTTATTACAGAGCATGTCAAACCTGTCAGTGTTGCAAGCACCTTTGAATTTGGCTGTGTATTTTTTTCTCGCAGCTCTCTCTCATGCAGAACTAGGTAGTGCTGAGTTTTCGTTTGGTGCCTGAGGAAGTGTGGTGATGTGTCACTGGTATTTTAACAGATAAGCTTTGGAAAACTGCTGATAAGGCACCATGTATAGTCTAACGAATGGTTTGAAAAGATTAAAATAGGTGATACGTTATTCTTGGACTCCCATCAAGTTAGTTTCCGAGACTCCAGCTTAATAACATCACACTTAAATGGCCCCCTGGAAAGTTCTTGACACTGAAAGTAGTTTTGAAATTAAGGCTTGGAGCCGAATTGATGATTGCATAGGTTGACCATGCTGTGGCAAGTCCTTGGTGAGAACCTCCATCTGAGCTGGTACTAATACAGGGATATGTTGTGAAAAGTAGGCACATATGTCTTCATGATGGAGAGATCCCAGATGTACCAGTTGCATGCGTAGTTCAGAGTGCGCATTGACAGAACACTGCGAAGCTTTGTTGGGAAACCTGATGGTATCACCAGGGTCTGCAGAGTCATGATTTCTTTGCAGTTGGCCCCATGACACCTCTTTGCTTCCTTCAGGCTGAACAAAATCTGCAGTGGCCTCTCCTTCCAGAGAAAGAACCAGTTTATGCAGAGGCTCCACAACTACTGGCTGCTGAAGCGGCAAGCGAGGAACGGGGTGCCCCTAATCCGGCGCCTGCACTCGCACCTCCAGTCCCAGAGGAACGCAGAGCAGGTACTGGTCCCCAGCTGAACCTGCATGGGAGGATGGAGAGCTTGCATTCTGGGGGGAGATGCACTTGATGTGCGGCTGGGAAGGGGAATGAGGGTGGAAAGATCAGAGGTTGATGTGAGTTAAGTCTCTTCTGGTCTCCTCTTGGTATGCTCATGCCTGAAGAGCTGAGTTAGTGTTTCAGTGGGATATCCTTTGTGCCACTAGTATTGGTGTTGATGAGCCAGCAGATAAGAGTTTTTCCCCTGAGTCAGGAGACCCAGGATTGTGCAAGGGTGTGATGGGCCCTTGGTGGACTGATCTCTTAGCTGAATTCTAAAACCACGTTCCTCATGAGTGATTAAAGATCCCCTCCTCAGGAAAATGGGTGTTAGCTCCAGAGTCCTGGCCAAATTCCAGTTTGGGTCATTCTTCCTGCAGCTTCAATTTCCGACCCTCCCATGCACATTCATATGGAAGTTTAGACATAATCATCGGCACTGCACTCCTTTGCTTCCTCCTCTGAGCTGGCATCCAGAGTTGCTCGATCTTGATGCTGTTAAACAGCAGTGCCTTTGGCATGAGAAGTAGTTGGTGAAGTAATGAAGGCAGTCGGACTCTACCCTCTAACGTAGCCTGTCAGTAGGTATTGTGCACGTTGTGCATGTATATTTTTACTGTAGTTGGAGGAATTTATAGGCTTTCGGTTTACATGAAGACTGCTCTGGATGATTAATAAAAAAAATATTTCCCACTCATCAGTCTGGAGCTTGGGGAAGTGCAGCATTTCCTTGGTGTATTAAGTTGGCAATTTACTGCCAGTAGGTTCTTAAGAACAAATGTCCTATAAATATAAACCATTAGGATCTTGTGAAGCAATTGTCCTCTCTTGGCAATCACGCAAAAGTGTATGCACTTCAGCTATATCCTCAAAACCATTTAAAAAACTACAGATTTAGGAGTGGAAGGATGATTGATTGCATTGCGAAGCCACTGATCTGTGTGTTGGAAGGTGTGAGCTCATCTCCCAGCGTTGGCTGTTCCTTTGTGTTTTGGCGAATCTCTTTCCATGGCTCTACTTCGTAGTGGTTACAAAGAGGATAATAATAGCTCTTTTCTCCCATGCTTTTGCTCGCCTTGCCTTTGTACTGTAAACGCTTTGGGCTGCCTCTTCGATGCACAGTGGCCAACAGAAAAATTTCCAGCCTCTGTAATGAACTTGGATATAAAAGCAGGGAGGGTGTAAATGCGCATGCACTGAAGCATGTTCCTAGAGTGTAGCTGCAGTATGATTTAGGCCTAACTTCACAGATAACATAAAATCCAGAAAGGCTGGTGTTGTGTTTGTTAGACAGCTAAATGCTGTAGGAAGGAGTGGACATAGTCTGAACAAGAGACAAGTAGACAGGAGGAAGACTATGAGGGCAATTCACAGGGGATGCCTAGAAAGAGGAGGAAATGCAGGAAGCAAGTCATGTTTTTCATCTCACACCACTGCTGTGTCTTACAGAAGGAGCAGGATGAGAAGACCAGTGCAGTGAAGGAAGAGCTGAAGTACTGGCAAAAACTGCGGCATGACTTGGAGAGGGCACGGCTGCTCATCGAGCTGATCCGTAAGAGGGAAAAACTCAAACGGGAGCAGGTAGGTAGTTTTGGCTATCAAGTTGCTGCACTTAGCTTCGGTCCCATGCAAACACTGTGCTGCAGGAGGCAGAGGAGGAACATGACAGTTTTTCTTTAGCCTTTTCCTCTTTTCATAGTGTATGACTGTTGGATGTGAAGAGCACATCTCTCCCTGTGTCAGCCACAGGCTCGCACTGCTCAGCCTCTGCCCTCAAAACCAGGGCTGGGCTGCAGAGTGCTGGAAAAATGTATTTGCATAACTAACTGTGGATTTGATTCCTGACCTACAGCACCCCTTCTGTTTCTGGGCATGGACCAAGTGTTTTGCCGAGTAGAAGTTAGATCTCCTTTAATGATTATTTCAGGAGTTTGGTAACACCTACTCCAGAGAGAGTTCTAAATCACAATTCTGCTCTTCATTTCTGAAGCTAAAAATTCCTGTGCTTTGCCCTCTAAGTACATTTTTTAGAAGAAAAAGTTTTAAGATGGAGACCATTTACTGAATTTTCCAATTTCCTCTTTGATCTGTGTGCAGTTTTCCAAAGGTGCACCAGTTAAGGTTGCTTCCCATGCTCACCAGCTTTGCCTGTTGAGGGTCTTTGCTTGCCATACCTGGTTGGTTGCTGCAGCGACAGTTGTGGTGTCTGGCATGAGTATCTTCAAGGACAACTTCATGAAAGACTCGCCCTGCGCATGGTGAGCCTGTACATGTGGCCTCAGGCATTGCCTGGGTGCTCTCAGGCTGTCTGCAGGGAGCCAGGCAGAGGGAAAGCAGCATCCTCTGTGATCACAGCTTATCTGCAAACTAATTTTTTGTGGCCAGAAACTGCCCACAGCTTTTCTGGAGTCCTTTTGATGCCAGCACTGGTTCATTTGCTGCATTGTCCTTGATTTACAGCAGTGGCTCAGTCCTCCTTGCTGTGTGGACGTATTTTAGGTAGGAGGATCAAAAAAAATATATCACTCTTGGGCTTTGCTTTTGGTATTTTGATATATCCCTATCACAATTGGCTAAATCCATAAAAGCTTGTTGAAACTATGGTGTGCTTTATAAAAGGATAAGATATCACAGAAAAGTGTATCTAGTTTGAGCTCTATTCCAGCCCAGCTTTTTGGTGAGTGGAGAAGGATGCTCCAGAGTCCTGAGTCTTTGTGTGGCTTCTTTCCTGTTTTGGGGGAAGAGTGTGATCTTTACGTCTGTCTTCATTCATTCTCTTAGTGATACTGTCTTGTTGCTTAGCACATCAAATACAGTTTGCTTTGTGTAAACAGACTTGCTTTCCTTTGCTACTGAAGTGGTTGATTTAATGACATAATGAGGGATTATAAGATCAAAGAAATTAAAATGTTAAAGGAGAAATAAATACTTCTATCCTGTTCCAGTCTCCTTTGAATAGTTTCAGTGTAAGAGATCAAACCAGTGCTACAACTTGTTTGCTTGAAATCGGGCAGTATTAGAGACTTCATAAAAGATGTCAGAAACTGTATTAGGAATTTGCAGACATCTAACCACTGTTGTTGTTTGGCTTCTGCCTTGAAGTGTGAGAGCTTATATCTTAAACTTTGTTTATGCTCTCATCTAATTATGGATATTGTTGTTCGTGTGAACGCCTACATACTTTTAACTTTTGTATAGTGTTGCTAATTGGCATAATAATATCTTGAGGCAGGGAGTTCTACAGGATAATTTACCAGGCATGAAAAGCTTCTTCCTGTTTTCATTTTTAGTTGTATTATCTTTTAATTTTCTGGGGTTTCCTCTTGTTTTGGCTTTATGGGATTGGATAAACAGGAGTTCCCTGTTTACCAAAGGATCGGACTGTGCAGTTAGACTCTGCAAAGTGCTGTCTGCTAATGTGCATCCTACACATGGAGAGGACAAGATGTTTGCCAGAAATTCTTCAGCAATGAGTCTACCAGGCCAGTGGTATGATGACCTGAGGTTTCTACCATGGAGTAGAGCTGGGGTAATGATTCAGGAGAAACCAGAGGGAGACACCACTCACATATCCTGTCCTCGATAACTGCTCATCGCTGTTTTCCCATTCCCAGGTCAAGGTTCAGCAGGCTGCTATGGAGCTACAGCTGACCCCTTTCAATGTACTTCTGCGCACAACACTGGACCTGTTGCAGGAGAAGGATGCTGCCCAAATCTTCGCAGAGCCTGTTAACCTGAACGAGGCAAGTCTTTTTCCTAGAGGTGTCTAACGGGTTGTGGATGAAGTATTGCTGGGCAGAAGCTCATGTGCTGTCATAACCCTGGAAGCACAAACTACTTTGTCCCAAGCTGCTGGTGAACTAAAGAATATCTAAAGAGGACTCACAATGTGGGTATCCTTCTGGGCCAAAAAAGGGTATTGTTTTCTGGAAGCTTCAGCACGTCTCAGACAAATAATGTTTTGCAGAGCCAGGATGTGTCTGCCTTGACTGGGTGACACAGAAATGAACTGCTGGCACTGTCCCTTGCCAGTGGAAAGGGCATTAAGAGTGCTTGTGATGGATGCGCTCTAGTTGGCTAGTAAATGGTTTTTGTAATTGTACAGGTTTTATATGTTTAGGTTCCAGATTACCTGGAATTCATTTCCAACCCAATGGATTTTTCCACCATGAGGCGGAAGCTGGAGTCCCACCTGTACCGAACATTGGATGAGTTTGAGGAAGACTTTAACCTTATAGTTACCAACTGCATGAGGTATAATGCTAAAGACACGATTTTCCACCGAGCAGCTGTCCGGCTCAGAGACCTTGGAGGAGCGATATTGCGTCATGCACGGCGGCAGGCTGAAAACATCGGCTTTGACACTGATGTGGGGATTCACCTGCCTGAGTCACCCAAAACCGAGGACTTTTACCGCTTTTCTTGGGAGGATGGTGAGTGTTTATTAAGCTTTTTTTTTCGGGAAGATTGTAACTGTGTTCTTTGTTCTGAGCATGTCACTCAGCCTGCATGGAAATCATAGCCATCATTCAGCATACAAGAATTTTCCTATCCATGTATTCACCTAAGTGTATATCTAACTCCTTTAGAGCCTCAAAGAGCAGGATTTCAGGTGAGCCAGGCACTCTGAGCTAGGTGCAGCTTAGATCCAGCTCTCCTAGTGCATGTCGGTCTCGGAAGAGCCTTGTAACTGCCCATGCTGTTTGATTTGTGCCATGGCTGTCGTACAGACTTGGTATTTAAAGAACAGTGCAAAGGTGGATCTAGGATTTTTTGCTCTGAGGAAAGCTCATAATTTCATTGTAAATTGGCAAGGTGTAGAGCAACTGGGTTAGATGGAGCACTGAGGGCTAGGAGGGGGTGATGTGAGGTTAAGGTACTGGGACCCAAGCAGCCCTTCTAGCTGAGACTTTCCCTTCACAACATGACCACATCCATTCCTACAGCCGTCTTGAGATGCAGCTCCAAAGCATTGGTTGAATAACTTGGCTAAACTTAGTACAGAATACTGCTGCTCTCCAGCATGCAGAGCTTGCAGTCTGCCGTCCGATTCCTAAATGTTGCAACCCTCTTGGATGCAGACAGACAGTCTGTTATGAAATTTGTGTTGGTGTATGATAGCACGTCTCTCAGCTGTCTGCCCTGCTTCTGTGGATGCCAGCCCTTCAGCAGAGCCAGAGGAATGGCAAACATGTTATGTTTTGGCCAGTTCTGTTTGTGGTGGGATTTTGTCATTTAATCTGGCAATGAAATAGGTTCCTGCCAAGGACCTGGACTGTGAGCTGTCTTGTGTGGGGTACAGAGACATGTCCTTTCACTGTTGCCCCGGGACAGTAATGGGAGCTGGAGGACAGTGCAATTAAGTCAGCTGCTCTTTACCCAAAGGAAGGAAGTCCGAGCTCCAGGGTTAACAATTGCTAAATCCCCAAACTAAAGCAATTGGTTCATGAATACCATAAAAGTAAATGAGGCATGGCAGTGGTCCCAAATGCTTCTTCAAGAAGCCTTGCTCCTTCCCTTCACTGTTACAATCTCTTTTGATACAGTGGATAACATCCTCCTCCCGGAGAACCGGGCTCACCTCTCCTTGGAGGCCCAGCTGAAGGAGCTGCTGGAGAAGCTAGACATGGTGAGCACCATGCGGTCCAGCGGCGCCCGGACACGACGCATCCGGCTCCTGAGACGGGAGATCAACTCCATTCGGCAGAAGCTGGCCCAGCAGCAGAACAAGACCATACCCAATGGGGAGCCTGTGCCGCGGGAAGAGGGGACAGATAAAACATCAAGGGAAGGGGATGAGGAAGGGGAGAAAGGTGAGAGGTTGCAGCAGGATTTTAGCTCCAGCTTTCTAGTACATGTCAACAGTCAAGACCTGCGGTTTCTCCTGTCTGTGGCCCTAGTGAAAGATGGGAGTGGCTGTTGGTAGTTCTGGGAATAACTCTTTCTAAAATGTTCAAGCAGATTCTTTATTCCTTTAGCAGATGATGCCAAGCCCCCGCACCCTCCAACTCTGGAGCCCACAGGACCCGCACCCTCCCTCTCGGAGCTGGAGTCTCTGCAGGACCCTCCAACGCTCAAACCCATCAGTGAAAGCAAGTCCTTGAATCAGCTGCAGAAGAGGGTGATGTCAGACAGGGAACTCTTCGACAAGAAGGCACTGCAGCGGGAGAGCCAAGCCTTCCAGCGCCTGCTCAGCGACAACGGCCTGAACGGACTGGCCTTGCCACCTGCAGACACCCCTGCCAGCCCCCCCTTCAGCGGCGTGGGCCGACGGACATCTGTCCTTTTTAAAAAAGCTAAGAATGGGGTGAAGCTGCAAAGGGGCCTGGACTGCTCCCTGGAGAACGGGGAGGACCACAGGCAGAGTGGGCAGCTTTCACCCTCCTGCCCTGACGGGGAGCGACAAGCTCAGAAGCGGCCACAGAGCAGGACCTGCAGTGAGAGTGATGGAGAGAAGTCGCCCAGGCAGGCAGGACAGAGAGGTAATTCCTTGGGATTTCTCTTCCTTTTGTACCCATGGAAACTGTGAGATGGCGCTGAGGGAGTGGGAATCCTGGGACTGAGTAAAGACATCTGCATCCAAACTACTCAACTGAAACTCAGTTTATGCTTGAGGGAAGCGTAGTCTCCATAACCAGACATGCCTGATGAAAGCTTCAACTCTTCCACAGATTTCTAAAATAAGGCAGACAAGACATGTCTGTAATGAGTTGCACTTCTCCACTAACTCTACATGGAGTTTCTAGTAACTTAGTTGAGCTGTAGACACCTCCATTTTAAATATTTAAAGGTACCAAGATGAAGCCCAGCAAGGTCACAAATAATTCTTCCCTTTACTAGTCAGCAGGGCTACTGTAAGAGAGAGTTTGCCATTTTTTGTAGGGCAAGCCAACACGCCCATCTGCTTGCAAAGCTGTTGAATGGCCTGGCTGGAGACTCAGGCTCTCCAGTAAGGACTGAGAAGTGTTGGCATTCCTGCCCTTGTGGAATCGTTTGCCTTGGCTTGACCACCGTTAGGAGTGAGAGTTTCCTGCTGCAGAAATGGTACATTAGGTTTGGAAGCATGCAGTGGACCAGCAACACAGCACCCATGTAAGATGAGATGTTAAAAGTTCCTTTTAAATCATCTGTACTCTCAGTTCTGGGATTTAGATAAAATTAGTGGGAATACTGAGCAGGTTCCTTTTCAAATTAGATCTGCAAATGAGAATAAGCAGCAGAGATGAAGTTTGGAAAAACACAAGGTGAAAAGGAACATCTGAGTTACAGCAATGTGATTTCTTTTTAATTCTGTGTTAACAACCGTTGTGGGATAGTTCGCATCTGTAGGGCTTGACTTAGCCCATACCTCAAATATTGTCTTAAAGTTATTTGGCTGTCAGAAGATCACTAGCAAATCAAGAGTGGGAGGAAAGCAATTGAGTGTGGGGATTGACTTACCAGGGCAGGTTAAAGGAAACACAAATGGCTTCTCCAAAGAGTTGAGGGACTCACCGTCATCATCTGCCAGTAATGAAAGCAAAGGGGAGTTGCCCACAATGGATACAGGTCAGAATGAGAGGTTGAAGTTAAAAATGGAAAAATACCGTCAAGATGCTGGAAAATCAATGATAACTAGGCAGTGACATTTTTCCTCTGCTGAAGCAGCACTGGTGTTTTTTTCCTATGAGTTGCAGCACTGCTTTTGTGATTCAGCTCCTTCCACTGTTTCAAATACAATCGATTTCTCCTAACTGGAGGGAGTGTCTGGTGTGCCAAATTGTGTTACCACAGGAGCAGGTCAGTGTGATTGGGATTGTCAGAACAAGAGGTTTCCCAGAAATGTGCTCCTTGTGGCCATTCCATATTTACAGCTGGAAAAACAATAGGGGCCTTGACATGAATTTGCCCTTTGTATGATTGATGGGCTTTTGATGAGCCCATGGGGAACCTGGGGTTGGTGGGTCCCTGCACGGGGGAAAGCAGTGGTTATTTGCCTTCTTGTACCTGCTCTGGGCTCAGGGATGCTCTTGGGGGTCATTCCCTGTCGAGTCCTGCCTGTCCATGGTTGTGGGATCTTGTCTAAGCACAGAGGTGGTCCCAGCTCTCTCTGTAGGTATCCCTGTGGTGCACAGAGCAGGAAACCTGGCAGTGAAAGGACGATTTCCAGCGCCGTTGGCGTCTGGGGCAAAGAAATGAAATATTCCGCTTACAGCTACAGTGACATTTGTACTGGCCAGGGAGGAAGATGGTGGGGAGCCTTCTTCTACCCAGGGGGAATTTGCTTCCTCAGTGTCTGCTCTGTGCACTGGAAAATCTCATTTCGAGAAATTGAAGCAATGAATTTTTCCTAGAGCGGTTTTCTTTCAGCAAGGAACCTGTAACCGAATAAGCTATGGTTTTATATGCCTGCTTCCATGGGCAGGGACCAGCCAGGCCCGGGGTGAGGCAGGGAGAAGTCCGTGGCAGTCAGTGCGAAGCCTCCATGTCTTTTCCAAATACACTTGAAGCCAGATGAGCAAGTGGTTCATTTCCTGGCCTCTGGGCTTCCCTGGCAAGCTGGGTGCTGCGTGGACCTCTCCTATACCATCCCTGGGCACTGCTCCAGCACTTACTTCTTCAGAAACAGCCTAATTTTTCATGTGTTAGGGGTAGAAATAACTTTTATTACTCACCTTTTGGTTGCAGCTGAGTCTTGGTAACTCAGTGCAGAATTTCCTTCTCTGGTCGAAGTACTTGGCATCTTTGTGGCTGGCAGTCATGGGACAGTGACCTTACCTGAGCCTTGGTAGCATCTCTGTGTGTTGCTGCTGCTTCTTTGGGCTGATTTCCATTTGTCTCCTTGGCAGGAGTGACTAACGGCTTTGCAAAGCATGCAGAAAGCGGCTCTGACTCTGAGTGCAGCTCTGGCCTGGGTGGTGGACTGGTGTTTGAAGCCTGCAGGTAAGTGGCCTGTGCGAAACTCTTCCTCAGAACACCTTCTGTGTCTGGATTAATCTGCCTGGTTTTATTGTTCGACTTCTTTGTTTCAAACCCAACCCAAATTGTTACTTATTTTCTGTGTTGACCCTAAAGACAAAAAGCTTCTCAGGTTTCATCCCGTCCTCTTAAGCTATAGGTCCCAAACGCAGTGCTTGATTTTTCAAGCAAATGGGTATCTGTTACACTTCTGTTTTTCAGTGCATACACGTCCTCTCTGCTGATGCTTACCTTCTTGCAGTTCTTGAGAGCCAAAGCTAGAAAAACTGTGAACTCAAATGTCCAGTTCAACACTGCAGGTGAAGCTTAACTTCTACCGCCTACTGAATTGCTGCTTTCTTCCTCTCAGAGGTTTAAAAGCAGAACTGGGCACTTCAAACAGGACTGAACAGTCTTAAAGCAAACATCTGTCATCTTTTGGTCAGTTGCAGTAGGCATATGTGGGTACCATATCCATTTTCTGGTCTTATCTGCCTGTCCAGCCCTCCTAACACTGACTCAAGTTATTTCACAGCACTTTTACTGCACGCTAAAACCTATATTATGCCTATATTATGACATTATATCATATTATATTATGTCTGTGTGTGTTGTGAGTGACAGGCTGAGGACATTTAACCTTGATGGGTGAGATTGTCCAGGACAGGCAGAAGCAAGACTTTTTTAGTTGATAGTAATATTTTCAGTGCCTTGAACATATCATTGCCCTCTGCTTGTGTTTGATGACCCTGAGGGTGATGACCCATCACTAGAGAAATATGTTCAGACATTTTATGCTTCCTCCCAATGCATGTGCTCAGTAAGTCCTGTAAGATTTCAAGCTTGCAATGTCAGTTGGGCACTTAAAGCTCCCCATGCACACCCATTCTCAGGACTGAAGCTACAGTTTAAAACTATTAGCTGCGTAACAAATTATTCTGCAGCAGGGTTGAATCCCAGGAGCATTTTTCAAATGAAAACTTCACTCTGCTATGCAGATCCTAAATGTTAGCTGTCAAAAGAGGTGTATAATTTTGCAGTTGTAGCTAAGGTTTGATTAGTGTTTCCATTATAAATCTGTTTGCAAAGGCTTTCGTGCTCATGACAAGGGCCAAGGCCCTGGGTTTGGAGGAGCAATTTTGGTGCGAGGGCTTTTCCCTGCCACAGAGTGATCTGACCTCAACAGTCAGGTTCTGGGCAGCCCAAGGGAAGCACGTGTTGCCCCAGTAAATTATCTCTCTTAGCACATGCTGAGCCCCTTGGAGGCGTAGGACCTCCAGCTCCTCTCTGAGATGGGACACCCACCCAGTTCTTCATCTCTCCCCTGTTCTCTGGGCTGTGTGCCCAGATCTTCAGCTCAGTCATTGCCTCTTCTGTAAGCTGGATGCTACCGTGACCCCCGTGCAGATCTCACAAGAAGCTTTTGCAATAAACTTAGCGTAAGCCGAGGAGCTGCACCGAAGGGAACAAAAAGGAGAGACCTGGACTCACGCATAGTTACAGTGTCATTTAAATGAGGGCCCTTGAGTCACGTAGAAATCCTTCATGGGGTGAGGATACTCTCAGAACAGGACCGGGAGCCAGAAACTCACCTTTAAACCATGTCTTGGCTTTATGGCCCCAGCTTATTTGCCTCCGTTTCCCCATCTATAAGTCAGGGAGGCAAATCTGAATTCACAGGGGAGCGTGGGGACTTGTTAGTTGATGTTTGTATAGTACTTTGAAGATGAAAAGTGCAGTGTAAGTGCTTATTACAATAATTGCAAGCAATTCACATAGCAAAAATTACATTACAGCTATGTGACACCCACAAAACAAGGAATTAAAAACAAGCTGATGTCTCATGGATAACTTCTACAATTATTCTATTTAGGAACAGCTCCGTTTACTGCTATTTCTGCACTCTTTCTTTTTGAGCACCAAATTCACTCAGAATGTGCTGGTTATTAGAAAACTGTAAATAAAAAAAAAAAGAAAGAATTACAGTAAGTGAAAAAATATGATTGCTTGAGGTGGAGATAGTCCATTTTCTGAAATGTTTGTAGTAATGAGGTGAAAGGATGTTCAGGACATGGGCTGATAGAGTCCAACTGCATATATGCTTTCCAGCATGAAGTCTTTGCTGGGTTTCTTCCTCATGTTCATAGCTTGGTTTCCACTAAGCCCCTTTCGTTGCTCATGGCAAAGCTGGGGTGATATCCAGTGTACTTGCACCAGAAGAGGCGTATTGATGACATTTTGCTCAAGTATTCAGTGTTCTTTTCATGTCAAGGGTGCACCAGTACAGTAATTTTGCAATATTTTAAACAGAGCTGAGGAATCAATTTACTTGGCTTTGTTTTCAAGGGCAATCTGTTTTCTCCTAATACCTAATTTTCCATATCTTTCTAATAGTGGTTTGATGCCTCCCAAGCGAAGTCGAGGGAAGCCAGCTCTTTCTCGGGTGCCCTTTTTGGAAGGTGTGAATGGAGACTCTGATTACAGCAGCTCAGGTGAGAATGGCCATACAGCACACCCTGCTCCTGTCCCACCACACCGTAGGGCCGACATCCATCTGAACCAGAGGGAGCAGGTCTCAATGCACGCCGGGAACCAGCCCTGCACAAACTATCCCTGTTGTATGATCAGGCTGCTGACCTGCCCATGCATTACCTGCTTTGTTACAAATTTATGTTACTGCATAAAAGGTTTTTGCCGATTGCCTGTGCCCTGTGTTCCCCTTGGATGGGTGCTTTCTGTAGGTCTGGTGTGTGTAATGTGCCTGGCACTGCTTTCTCCTGTTTTGCGACTAGTCCTCTTTAGTGACACTGCAATACAAACAGTAAATCATAATTATAAGAGGGGTCTCTCTGGAGATGAATTCATAGCTGTTCCCTCTTGTATTGCTATCATTGCTTTCAAGGTCTTTGTAACAAAGTCATCTTTGTCAGACTGTGCTGTACATCAGTAAAATTAAGTCACACTCCTCTAATACTACCCAAGGCACTACACCAATCTTCCAGCACTCACACGACCAGATTCCTGTCTTTCTTACAGTGTGTTAATAATAGAGTTATTGCAGGTTTATGCTGAAATCAGAGTTCAGCTTTGACTCCCTGATACGCCTGTGCCCTTCTGTACAGCTCCCGTGTGCTCGCTCCTGTCTCCCTGGGAACCATTATTATCCTGGACCCCATGTGCTCAGCAATCTGCTTTGGAGATAAGCTTACAGAGCAGGGCTGGTACTGGGAGAATTAGAATCAGTGGGACAATTCTGTGTTTTAGAACATCAATTCATTAATGGAAGAATACATCTGGAATGCAGTAGTGGAGAAGCATATCAGATCCATCTTGGCAGGGTGCTCATTTGGGTTGTACTCACCATTTTCTAGATTAATTTTGACTTCTGGTAAAGCCAGTGTTTGACCATTCCCCTCTCCTCCCCCCCCCCCCCCCCCCCTGGCCAAGCAATCCTTCCTGTAAAATTCACATTAATGAAAATTACTCCTTTTCCAGGATCAGGAGCTGGCAGGTTAGTTATTCATGTCTTGAATGGATCTTTTGCAATACTTCTAACTTAAGTTTGAAAAATTTGATGACTAATACACTTCTGTCAACTAGAACCAGGCATTTCCTGCAGAGATCAAATAGCCCCAAAGTATATGGTATCAGAATCATCTAGATATTTGTATTTAGGAGGAATAAAAAGGGGCTCTCTGAACAGTGGTCCAAATTAATCTCAGATACAGCTTCATCAATTCCATTGAGGATGGATTTGGCCTGGTGGAGCCTAATGGACCAAATTCATCTCTTGTATACCCATTTGATTTCAGTGATATAGCAGCTATTCACTTCAGAACTGAATTTGATTAATATTTCCATATTGAAGAGCTCATCTGAAGCTATGTGCATGCATAGACTTAGACCCATGATTTAGGAGACTGTGGCATTATCTTAATGTGGAACGTGACTGTATTGACAGAGCATAAAGAAGGCTGGACGTTCACCATGGCCAGGCTGGATCTCACTGCATGTTAAATTTTATCATAAACTTACTACAGATGAGATGTGTGTCTTATCACCTCTGGTTTGGATACCCAGTGCATATAAGTACAAACAATAAGTGGCTTTCCATTTAGCTCTAGATCTTGATTGAGAGAAATGGTTTGGAATTGTGCATATGTGCACACAGTAGTGATTAGATGTATGCTTTTGTGTGATGAATAGCTGGACAATAGGTTTGTTAAAAAAAAAAAAAAAAGGGGAAATTCCAGATTTCTGCTTGCCGCAGAAGCAAATAGGTTAAAAAATTAAAACAAAAATACTGTCAGTATGTTTTAAGTACAAAAGTAGTTAATCTGTTTTAGCTAATTGCTACTGAAACAGTGCAGACCATCATGCCTGGGTTAGATGACGGTGTGGTTTCTTGTGTTATCATAACCCCTTTGCTAGTAATTGCCCTCCTAAGCCATGTCTCCTTCTGTCCCTTAGGCAGGACTCTCCTGATGTCCTTTGAGAGTCAGGCTGAGCTGGAGCCCTTGGAGCTTGTGTGGGCCAAATGCCGTGGCTATCCCTCCTACCCTGCCTTGGTAAGTACCCCATTGCTCTCTCACAGCCTGTACCTGCAGCGCAGGTAGTCCAGAACACAGTGCTAGTGTGCAGTGTAACCAGACAGAAAAGGAAAACTTCCCGAAATCATGCAATATGTGTTTTTTTTTTTTCTTTCCCCTTTGCACAGTTAATTTTCCCTGTGCTCATTGTTTCAGAGCATTGCAGAGGATTCACAAAACATTGGTCTCTCGGTGCCAGGGATAGGAGGAGATCTTTCCTCTCCTCTCTTGTTCACTCTGCAGGTATGGGGAAAGTAATCGGTACTGTTGGCATGAGAAGACCTAAATTTTGTAAGGGCAGGCACCAGGTTCCACTGGTGTCTAACTGCCCACACCTTTTCCTGTATAGTGAGTACATCTCCACATGTAGGTGCCCAACTGGCCTTGTGATGTATATATCCTCTTGCAATAACCATATGTTTGATTTAAATATGAGAATATATGCATGTGTTTGCACCTAGTCCTTTGAATGATATTTCCTTAATATTTATCCGTCTTTGGATATTTGACCATTAACATGAAAGCCATAAACCTGGCTTCAGTGAGCATCGCGCTTGGTTCCAAAGCAAGACATGACATGCAGCTGTTGCTAGGAAGTGCCAGTACCACTGCAGGCTTTTAAGTACTTGTTAAGTTATCGACAGAGATTGCTGAAGTAAGTATACAAGTAAGAACATAAGATAAGCTGACTATGGTTTGTTTTTTCTGCTACTTTTAAATATATCCCTTGAGATGTGGCTCTTCCTGCCATCTCTGCTCCACGTAATTTCTGCATGGCTGCAGCCATCCCCTTAAGTACCTTTATGGTTGGGATCGTTAAGACAGACAGCGCTTGTGACTGCTGAGAAATTGTAGCAAGTGTAGTCATCATGGACATTATACAGGTCTCTACATCCAAGCAGCAGAGCTGTGAAACTGGGCGTAAGCTGACCCAGCATATATGCCTGGCCATGGCTGAGCACAATTCTGATGCTGTCAAAAAGGGCAGATTCTGCTAAAAGAGTGACCCTCATCCATGCTCTTACTCTAAGTGGGAGGCCAGAGGAGGGAACAGCTATGGATCTGCTAGCTGTGTTGGCCAGCCAAAGTCCTTTTAGATCTTCATGTGGCTACAGCCAAAGTTAAACTATGCTTAGCATGGCTTTAAACACTGAGATTGCCCCCCAAAAAGGCATTTTTTTTATAGCAATCTGTTGCTGTGGTAAAGTGTCTTAATAAATTCCTACAGCTGGCCAATGTCAAAGCCAAGCTGCTTTTTCAAGCCCTTAGGAGCCAAGATCAGGAGGCAAAGAAGAGAAGACTGAGTATTGCATCGACCCTTTGGTGTTTCGTTCTCCTCCTGTGGTCACATAGCACAAATGTTGGACGTTGACATTTCTGCTTTATATGGGAGAATCGATCCATCTGTTGTTACTTCTCTCCAAAATGACTATAGTCTGTGTTCCCCTAGCCTGATAAAGCTGGCACTGCTTGTTGACTCTCTCAAAATATTGGGCCTGATTCTGATCTAATAGCAGTATAAATCTGAGCAATGCCGCTGAAGTCAATTGAATTGCACCAGAATGGAGCTGTTGTAAAATGGCATTATGCCTGCTGAGTACAGCAATGGTGTTACACTTATTGTATGAGTTTGGAGTGAGGGAGGGAAATCCTTTGCTGAACACAACAATACTGAGTTTGTACTAAATTACCAGTTAGTCTAAATGCATCTACATCCACACAGAACCACACACTTAGATCCTTTCCCTTTTTTAAGATCAGGTGCTTGGCTTTTGGACTGACTGGTGTCCCTTCCACAGGGGAAGCCTCGAGGACAGGAGAATTCTTTAAAAGGAGCTGCTGAGACAGAACAAGCAATTTTGCTTATCTATCCTAAGTAGATTTTAATTGCCTAGCTTGGATAGACTGAAAGAACAGGGGGGGGAAAAAAAAAAGGCATTCTCTGCAGTACTTGAAAGGTTTTGTGCTTAAATATCCTTTCCCTGTGTCACTAGATAATCGATCCCAAGATGCCACGCGAGGGTTTGCTCCACAATGGAGTCCCCATCCCAGTCCCACCCATGGATGTGTTGAAGTTGGGGGAGCAGAGGCAGACAGAGGCAGGAGAAAAGCTCTTCCTTGTCCTTTTCTTTGACAACAGGAGAACCTGGTGAGTGTGTGCAGACAGGTGGGGGCCTGTGGCGAGTGCTGTGGCAGAGAGGGAAGATTCAATGTAATCTTTGGTATATGGGAGCATACAGGGATTATGATGATGATGATGTTATATGTAAATTGGAGAATTTAAACACGCAGCAGTCAAGAAGAGTCTAAATAAGGAAGCCAGCCTGCTTTCCCTGCCCAAGAGTACAACATCTGACTGCTCCCCTTCCACGGTGAACAGCCCAGCATCCTTCACCCAGGGGTCACATCACCACAAAAATACTGAGGCACATGAAGAGCCAATTTAGTAGTCAAAATCTGCAGCAAATTAGAGGGAACATTTGACTTTAAAATGCCAGCAGACTGAGCAGCCAGTTCCACTGCTGCACAAAAGATTTGCCAAAAATCTCCAGGGTAACATTTTCAAAATGCTGGGTTTATTCCATATTTAGACTTGCCTGATTTTTCATAGGTGCTGAGCACCTGCAGTTTTCAAATCAAGATACTTGTTTAACATGGAAAATGTAGGTGTAAGCACCTGATTCAGGGCGAGTGAAGTATCTCAAGGCCTTTTACTGCTCTGTCTCAGACAGACTGAATCTGCTGATTTTAGTATCAGTGGCTGACCGTGCTCACACAGTAACAATAACCCAGCCAGATATAATAAGACACAAACCACTGAAGTGCCTTAAAAATAAGCAATAAGGCTTTGAAATCCGTGTATGAAACAATGGGAAACTTGTAGAATTGGAGAATTATGCTGGAAGAGGCGAGTCCCCACAATGAGGCAGGCAGCTGCATGCTGAACCTGCTGGATTATTTAACCAGCAAATGCCACATGGGAACATGAACCAAGCAAATAAATTGTCACACAGGAGGCAATACCTGTGTGCAGCTGGGATCACAGATCCAAAGAGTTTATGCTGCAGACAAAGCGGATGCTGGGCCATTGGGGTGCACATGGGAATGGAGGAGAGAACAGGCTTGCCTCTTCTGATGCTGCCTCTATAAAATAAGATACCAAAAATTTAAAAAGGAGCCTTGTAGTACTTTGAGAGCCCTTCTCCTCCTTCGTCTCCTGGGGAAGGTCTTTGCTGGCATCCCTGGAAGAGCAGGGAACCACAAGATCAGGGAAGGGTGAGGGGCTGGAGGAAGGAGGTCAACGTTGCTCAGAGGCTGTGTCACGGCTGGAGGGAAGGTGCATCACAGGGAGAGAGCAGAGCCGAACACACAGTGGGGTAAAGCAGCAAGGGGGAGTGTTTTCCCCCTACATTTTGGGGCTGCTGCAGTGTTTTATGCAGTCTAAAGAGATGGAGGCAAGGTGCAACACAGGCAAAGGAAAAGCATGTGCTGTCTTCTCGGGAAGCTGAGAAGGGGACCTCATTTGCATCACTTGATGAGTATGTTTGTGTCCTCTGGGGAAAAGAGGTGCCAAGGGACACACTCCTGAGGCTTTTTATTAGTACACTGCATTGTTTCACTGTCCTTGATTACCAAACCCACTTGATACAGAGCTTGTTCTTCAAAGAAGTACTAACGATTTTTAGTGGAAAATCAATGGCAGTGCCATGCTTCCTGTTGCAGTAGTCATCAGTTTTGAAAAATCTAAATCCAAACTTGTAATTGAAACTACCTTCCCAATAAAAATCAGCATTTCCTTGGCTTTGCCCTGCTCTTGTTGAAGACAAGCTTTGATGGATGTTTACACTTTTAAGTGGCCACTCAGAGCCTTGTTTGCAGTTTGTGGGAAGCTAAGGCGCCTCAGGAAAGTCCTAAAACCCCCTCTAAGTGCCAGATTCAAATTCTGCTGACTTCAGTGATGCTGCAGATGGGCTACAAAGACTGAAATCGGTCCGTTGTCTTTGTGGTGAAGATAAGCTGAGCTGCCCTGGGTTGCCCATGTTGGCTGGCTGGGAGATGCATTAAACTGTGGTAGGGGTGGCTGAGCTTGAACTCCTGGGGGCTGGACTTTGTTAGGAAAGACAGATGGCATGTGTCTGGGTGTGCTAGTTAACCTGGGCTAATGACTGCACAATAAAAACTTGCTATAGACAAAGCACTTGCAATTTAAGTCATCAGTTAGTTGGGGTCAACCTGGGCTTGGGTTGTGTCTACTGGAAGCTGCCTGTTTCTGGATGATACTCAGATAGTTTTACCCACCCAAACCCTGATGCTTACAGTCTCTTGGAACATGGCAGAGCTTTCTCGGGGATAAAAACTTAAGTTTCCACCATGGAAGTCCTTGTATTTGCTGCTCTGTGGAACACAGGAATTTCCAAGTTTCCCCTGGAGCTCCAAGGATCATCGAAAGCCTTGAGTAAGGACTCCAAGGAGAGATAAAACTATGCTTGTGCAGGAAGGTATTTTGCCTACAAGTGGTTCTTCCATGTCAAATGCAGGCATTTAAACATTCGTAGCATCATTGTGGGGTGTTAACTATAAGCAAATAGATCACATGAGCATAGGTGCTCCTGAGGAGATGACAACCAGTGACTAATTGCTGCTGAGACACGTGGGGAATGCTTGAGGAGCTGGAGTACTTGGCCGTGTCTTGGAAACTCTTAGGACAAACTCCTTGGCCTGTAGCAGCCATGCAGCGGGTACGAGAGCCAGGCACATTGGAGCAGTCAGCCTCCTGCAGAGAGCTCAGGTGTACCACTGCAAGGACAAGAGGCCTCCAGGTGTTTGTTCTGCTTTCCCTGTTTCCCCTCCTGATGCCCTCAGTGATGGGGCTTTCTATTGCAGGCAGTGGCTTCCACGTGACAAAGTCTATCCCCTCGGCGTGGATGACACAGTGGACAAGTTAAAGATGATGGAAGGACGAAAAACCAGCATCCGCAAGTCCGTGCAGGTGGCATACGACCGAGCCATGATTCACATGAGCCGCGTGCGGGGAGATCATCCCTTCATTACGTCCAATTATCTGTAAGGGGTTGGGGTGACCGGTCCTCCTTTTCCTCCAGACCCCGCGCTCTCTGCGTCGGCAGAGCGGACCGTCTTGTGCACTGACTGGCCAGGGGATGCCGTTCCCAGCAGCTGTCAGCACTCCTCGAAGTACCCTGAAATGTGCCAAAAAGCCTGTCCAGCTTCTTTCTGAATGTGTCTTGCTGAAGAGCTGGCAGGAGATGAAATATATAGTCTACAGGGCCAGGAGTAAGGTAGTTAGGAAAAGCTGCCAGGTGACGGGAGCCAAGGTGAGCTGATGCAGTGACCAGAGCACAGCTCTCGGATGTTCGGACCTCATGCACCCTCCCTCGCCCCTGCCTTCCCCGTGCCGCCGGGGTTTTTAAGTCATCAGCCAGCCCAAGTAATTCCCAGGAACCCGTCACCACTGTAACTGAACCAGGATCCTTTACGGAAATCCCAACTGGACTTTATTGTGCCAAATTTACCCTAACCATCATTGGCCTTTTCATTTTTTTAAATGACATTGATTGTCCCATCACATTAAACAAAAAAATCGTAGCTGGGAGTTCACATTACGATTTTCCTGCCTACGTACATAGTGTTTTCATGTTAGATTTCTGTCACTGCATTTAGAAAAGCTTGAGATTTTTTGGTAACCTTCCCCTCTGCTGCGCACACTTACATGCATAGATGCACAGAGCTTTAAATACAAAAAGAAAATTACCTGATTTTTGTGTGTGTGTGTATGTCCTAGAAATTTATTTGGTAGTTTCACATTTAAATTCTGATTTCTGTGACTGTGCTTGTTCCAGTAACATTTCATATCATGGTTTAGTACAATACTGAGTCTAAGCAAAGATAACTTCCTTTTTTTAAGAAGTAAAACTAATTTTGGAGGTGTCTAATGAGCTGGAGCAGCTTTGCAGGCACTGAGGTTGATCAGGGTTGGAGAGAGATACATCTTTTGTGTTGGTTTATGCACATTTGGTGTAAGGCTTCTCTTCCTTTCTTCCCTTTTTTCTGTCTCTAACGTTTTCCTCTGGCTCGGTTTGGGTTGAAACCAAGCGCTAACTAGAGCACACGACCATTTTGCCTTTTCGCCTTCTCCCACACACACATATCCTTTCCCTGGTGTGTGGGTCTCCAGCATTGTCATCCATTAAAACCCAAGTAAACCCAGCTCTGCAGATAATCCCTGTTTTTTTGGGTTTGCATTGAAAAAACAGGGACAACTGATGTTTGGAAACTTGATGACAAAACCTTTTCTATTAGCCAAGGACTTTATGATTTCTCTGATCTCTTCTGTTGTGTATCCCTTTTTGCTTTCCCATTTTAAGAACCAAAGGTGCAGAGCAAGATTGTAGATTGAATATCATCATTTCGCTTTTTAACTCAATATTTTTTTATTATTTTAACTTTTTCATACTGAAGAGAATGTGGGGTCAAAATAATAATAATAATTAATAATAATAATGAATAGTGGGGAGTAATCACTGCCATTTCTACTTGGTCTACTTTTTTAAAATACCACTTCTTATACATTGGGACATGGAACCACACTTTAGGGAAGATTCCTGTAACATATAGAGATGGGGCATAGGATTTTGTAATAATAATAATAATAATAATAATAATGCCTATGGAGTGTGGCTAGGGAAGGATGTTGTGTATATAGTTGTAAAATATTGTTCTAAATTATTTAGACCTATTGTCACCATTCTTGAAGTCCTCAGTTGTGTTGCTGGGTCTTTTATATGCACACAGTGTAATTTATTTAACGGAACATACACTTTTCCAGGTGGTAGCTCAGCTGTGGACTTGTGACCTGTGTATATGTTTTAAGATTTTGGGAGTTGGGTTTTTTGGTTTTTGTTTTGTTTTGTTTGTTTTTTAAATGACATTTTAGAATTTGAATTGGCTAATATCCTGCTGTTGCTACGGGACCTAAACGTTACTGTCAGTCTGCTGTAAAGCACAGATCGCTCTATTTATTGTAGAAAGTGAGTTTATTTGCTTTCTAGAATTGTTTATATCAGATGGTATAAGAGAGGTAATAAGAAAATCTATGCTTGTAAAGAAAAAAAAATGCTAATTTTACCTACTATAATCTGACTGTCTGAGACTATATTTTCTCTCTGAGAAATAAATGTTCTAATGTATAAAAAAAAAAGAAAAAGAGTCCTTCCTTGCTAGTGTTGTCCTGAGTTCCAGGACACTACTTAATGTGATGGTGTTTATTTGTCCCAGTTGTCCTAAACGCAGGCATAAAGCGGTTGCAAAGAGCAGTGATAGGGAAGGGACACATGGAGGGATGTTTCTGCCTCGAACGAGGTGAGTTTATTCCCTGTGCAATGGGTAACAGGGTTGGGTGCTGCAGGATGGGATCCCACCGGGGGGTGGCCGGGAGCCCCGAAACGATGGGAACTGGGGGCTTGAATCCCATCTGCTGGTGATGGCCCTTAGTGGGCCTGAGGGCTGCTGCGATGCTGGGGCATGGGCAGTGAGATGTGCCAGCAGACGGAGACGGGAGCCAAGCGATGCGGCGATGGCAGGGCTGGACTCTGCAGCCAGGCTGGTCCCTGGCTCCTGGCTGGGGAGGGTTTCTCATCTTAGCAGGGCTCTTGCATTGTCTCTCTTCCCTAAGATGCATTTTCCCTCCCTGCACAGGTTCGTGTTGCTGCAGGCGGTGGTGCACCATCAGGACCCCTTTGCTGCTCGGCCCCTCTGTGTAGAACCCTGGGTTTCGCTGGAAGCTGCTGCTCTCCGAGGATGCAGGTATCGTTCCCATCCACCGCGAGCACAAAGCCCTTCTGGGGCCAGAGGCACAGATCCACCGCTGTGATGCAAAACCCTGCAGGAGCCAGGGGATGCTTTTCCCTTTATTTCCCCCCATTCTGTTGTCAGCTCCAGCACCACAAATTCAGCAGGAGACATATACGGTCACCTGCTTTGAGGCCTCATCCTGGCTCTCACCTCCTTGCCCAGCCTCTCTGCCTGCCTTGCCGGCACATCCTCTGCCTCCCAGGCTCAGACAATTGTCAGCCTGATCCATGAAAAGCCCCGGTTTCCAATAATCTCCCGTCCCCAGCAGCCGCCATGCTGTAATGGTCCTTGACCCTCATCTCCAACTGATACTGAATACTGAGTAATTAAATTCCTGTTTTCCCCCTAATATGTTTGTTCTTTCAGATGCTTCTGCCTTCAGTTTGAAGGCAGGGCTGCCATGGGTCTCTGCAGTACCAGTTTGTAAAGCTGGGTTTGCCCTGCCTGGATCCAGCCCTGGCAGCAGCATCTGCAGGAGCTGCTGAGATCCACTGTCCCTCCAGAGCTGGTGCAACAGCATCTCCTGGGGCTGCCACCAACGGCACCTTTGCCTGAAACCAGTGATTAATTTGCAGTTTTGCAAGCAAAACTTTCTGGCAGAGAAGTTTAATTTCCCCTTGATTACGTGGTGCATGTTACTTGGTTTTGTCAATGCTGCAGGTGCAGCCATCAGCCCTGCCCCATCCGTTTCTCTGTGTTTCTTTTCAGAGTTGCAAAAAAAGAAGAAACAAAATCAATGAGAGCAAGAAGATCCCCTGGCTCAGCACGCTGGCCAGATAAGGACATAGCTCTTTATCTGGTGTTGGGGCGATGCCGAAGGCCAGCAGATTTTGATCAAGGGGAGGGGAAGTTCATTGGATTTCTGCAACCATTCCTAATTTTCTGAATTTCATTTTTTTGTCGAGGTGCTGGGTGCAAGGGTGGCAGGTAATGGCCATGAACGAGTTATGTCCCAGAGACAGAGAAGGGTCTTGCTTGTGGACCTGCCCTTCAAAAAGCCTCCCAGAGGAGACCGAAATGCAAGAGCAGGGTGGTCCGTGCCCCTCTGGCTGCTGCAGCACTGGCTCAGGGGTGCAGGGGGGGTGCAGGGGCCATGCCCAGCCCTGGGTGCCCACAGGTAGGTGCTCACACACATGTATTTATTTGTGGGATGGGTCTTCTTAGGGCAAGTGCTGCTTCCACACCAACAGAGGATGAGTTTTTCATGTACTGACTACACAACCACAGTCATAGGTACATCCGGGGGACAGCTCTCCTTGCATGCTCATTATAATTGTCGGTAGGTATAATTAGCACTTTCTATATAGACATAGCATATATATGCAATGCAGGTATGCTTCAGGAGAAAATGGGGGCAGCTTTCTCCACTGTGTGTGACTCAGCCAGACCCTTGGGGAGGTCCCAGTCCCCTTTGGTGAGGACAGGGGAGTTCACACTAGGCGCTGTGCATGGGTTTGGCCTCGGGCTTTTCTGCGTGAGAAAAAATGACGGGAGGGAAGGAGCGGCGTGGAGCCAGCTCCTTAGAGGCAGATGGATAGCAGGTGACAAAACCTAACGGTGCCGCCGTGCTGAGGATTAATCCTCTCCTGCTCCGGCCTCCCAAAATAGCCCTGGCTCGCTGGCCTGTTCCTTGTAGGATGCGTCCAGGATCGGCAGCCCCTGGAGCCAGGGTCCCCACACTGGCCTGGGTGAGGGCCACTGTGGTGGGGAGTGGGGGCTTGGGGCAGCGATGGGGAGGAGAGGGAGGATAGCAGGTGGGTAATACATATTTAACGTGTGCTTCAGCGCTTGGAGCGCTGGAGCTTGGGTAGCAGCTAGGAGGAAAGCCACAAGCTATATTTTTATTTTTCTTCCTTGCAGCAGCAGATGTGGGCAGCCCTTGTCCTCGAGGCAAGCCAGGGCCCCTTTGCAGCTAAGGAGGGGAGGGGAGTCTGACCTGGGAAGGATGGAGATGGGGAAGAAAGGCAGCATGGATGGACAGGACGGGCAGATAAAGGTGAGGATGAGGAGGGAGGGGCAGGCGAGGGAGACGGGGGGCTCTGCTTCCAGTGTGTGATTAGTTTTTCTTTAGCGTTGCTCAACCTTTGATGGATGATGCTCCGCTGTAAAACGCACTGTAATTACTCAGCGGGACAGCAGGGATTCATCAGTGGTGATCAATATTCACAGCATCTATCATGCCTGCGGGCAGCCCGACCCACTGCGCACGCAGGATCTGGCACTGACCCATAACCTGAAATGCCGTGTGTGTCCCTGCAGACCCCCAATCATTTGGGGTGAAGCCGTGCAGACCCACAACAGTCTGGGACCATGCACAGGGCTTGCAAGAAGCTGCTAATGATGGTGCAGATGTTTTTGGCATGTGTTGTAGTGTGTGCGCAAGCATACAGGTGCATGAAAAAGGGAAACGTTAAAATTTCCAGCTCTCTCCTCTTTCACAACCCGCATCCCTTTTTCTCTCAACACTTCACAGCTCCTCTCTGGAGCTTGCACCCAAACCCAGGGGCTGGGAATGGGCATCTCTTGGCACCTTCCATGGGAAAAGCACCTTTCAAGAGCCGCACCGTCAGCTGCTGGGCAGCATCGGGTGTGTGGGAAGTGGGCAAGGAGATGGCTCCAAAATGCAGTTACTTACTTTTCCCAAGTGTAGTTTTAGTGCCCTTGAGTCCACAGTCCCTGATTGAGGGATGTCCTGATGTAATGCTGATGTTAAACTGACACTGTCAAGTAATTAAAGTCCTGCATTTATTGTAGCCTGGTTTAGGAAAGGGAAAGGGGATTTTTTTCTAAGCATGCCTGGAATTTTTATTTGCCCTTATTTACTACCATCTGTGGAAATGATTATAAGTTTGTTTTGTTTTTTTTTACTGTAGACGTTTTGCAGCGTTTGCAGATCAGGAGCACTTCAGTGCGTGCCAAGCAGGAGGTGAAGCTGATGGCAAACGGAGCTTGGGCCTCGCTCCCTGCTGAGAGAAATACAAAAGGAGTGTGTGGCCGGGCTGGGGAAGGGTTTTGTGAAAAATCTCCACAACCAGCAGGTGTTTTCCTTAAAGAAAAGCCCAGCTTTTGCTCTGATCAGAGCCCTTTTGATAATGGAAATAACTATATTTTGTTTGCCACTCTTGGTGTGAGCCAGGCGAGCTGGGACGGTGCTGGGGAGATGCTGGGGTGAATCCGTTGGGATTCAGCTGCGTCTCAGTTCTGTTCCTGGCAGGAAACCTCCCCTTGCCCACGGTCCTGACCCAGCAAGGAGAAGCTGAGGCTGTAAAACGTGTATTGGAATTCGGTGAGGTTTTCAGCGACGCGCCAGAGTTACAGGGGTAACCAAAATGGGGGGATGGACAGACAGACGGACAAAGGATGGACGGGCAGTGCTAGAAACCAATGGCTCTCGCAGTGCTCACATGGATGGGGAAACTGGATTTTCTCTCCAGTTTATTGACTTCATTCTTGGCACTGTCCTGATCAACTCCTCTCTTCCCACCCGTAGGTATTTTCTTAAAAGAATTCCTCCAGTAAAAAAAATACAGAACACAAAAAACCCCACCTGGCTCATTCTAAAAAACACAATATTAAATTTTATATCCTCATTTTCTGGCTAATCAGATCCCCCACTGGCTGGAGCAAACAACCGGCCTGTTGTACAAGACAACGAAAAGCGGCACTTTAATAACAGAGCAGTGAGCAGCTGCCATTCTCCCCCGCTGCCATCCATCAGAGAGTGTTTGATAGAAAAGAAATAAAGGAACCAGTAAGACATTTTCAATGGATGGAAATAAATGTTAGAGCTTTGCCTGGGGATTTATGGAGACCGTTGGCCAGGGACATGATCCGAGTTTGCTGGGACAGGCAGCGATGCATCCTGAGACCAGTGCATGGCAATCTTTTGCCCCGGTTCTTATTTTGGCTGTGTCAGATTTCCTGCCCATCAGCCATGTTTGATCAACACTCATTAGAGCAAAATTAATATCCCCGCACACGGTACGTGTTGCTTGGAGTCCAACTCCACTTTTCAAGGCGATGGAGCTGTGCAGCCCCACAAGCTGCAGTGCTGTGACCCCGGTGCGAAGCCGTGGAGCCCTGTGAGCTGGGGAACATCTGCAGCTACAGTACACGCTGGGCATTTCCACGCGCACGGAGAGCTCCTGCCGTCGGAGAAAAGCCAGGAGGGCTGCCAGGACCACTGAGCTGTCATGGGAACTTGCATGGGGATGCTGGTGAAGAAGTTGCATCATAGCTCATGTGTTTTAACTCCCTTTTTACTTCGACACTGATCAGAAAGGAAATGAAAGTGTCATGCTAATGTATTTTAATTAGTCCATTAGCATTGCTAAATAAAATAAATTTTGCAGGCAGATACGCTTGCTGAAGTGTGAACTTTCATTTCTCATTCTTGGTTGGGGCTGTACAAAATTATTTCTTCTACCTTCCAAGGAAATTTTAAGCTGCTTCTTGTTGCCCAACCCCGGCTCCTTCTGAAGGACCTGCTCCCTCCACCACGGGGGTCCTGGGGGGGCCACACATGGGCTGGGGCTGTGGCACAGAGCGAGGGTGAGGGTTTGGGAAGAGGCTCTTTGGAGACCGGGTTAGGAGAGCTGGCAGGTGCTTAATTGAGTGGGGTGCTGGGTGGTGGGAAAAGGATATTTGGACTTTGGTGGGGATGAGATGATTTAAAAGAAACCCTTGTCTCTAGCTCCAGGTGAATTTAAATTAAAGGGAATGGTGTGAGGAGCTGGAATGTGATACCCAGGGCAGGTGAATCTGGGCAGACCTGTAAGTCTGATCGCAGCCATTAGCTGTGGCCAAGGTTCCAGGGAGCTGGCGGAGCTGCAGGAGCAGCGGCACAGCCAGGGAGGAGGCAAGGGAGCATCATCCTGATCCTAAGGGTGCAAAAAGCACAGGTCTGTCCTGCATGTGACTGCTCTGGGAAGCCATCCCGCTGCTCCTCCAGTGCTGCCCAGCTCTGGGCATCACCCTGGAATGCTCCAGCCATCCCCTCACTGCCTTCCTGGCCATCTTGCTGGAGCTGTTGCACTGCAACTTTAATGCCTTAGTGTTTTAAAACAAAAATAAGCTTTCTATCACCATTCCTAGTCTTTCCCCAAGGGCAGCTGGTTTGATGGACCAAAAAAACCAACCTGATTTCCCAAGACCCTGCACCCTTGGCTGTCATGCGCTGTAGCATTCCCAGGGACTCGGGTGCTTCCTCCTGCTGCTGCAATCCACCCTGACCCTCCGCTGTACAGTGCCTTGTGCTGTAATTTTGTGGGTTATTTGGGGGACTGAAAAAAAAGGAAAAAATTTGCTAAGTCTTACTGTCAGTATTTCAAGCCTTTATACCTTAATTTGGAGTCCTATAACTAGGAAGATTTTATGGTGCGCAATGTTCCCTGGCTCAGGGAGAGCTGCAGACGTCGGTGAAGGTATTAAAAGGGGAGTTCTTTACTTCTTTTTCACGATTTCCACCTGTTGCAAGAAACGGTAGAGAAAGATTTAGCAACAAGAGGGATGTTGGTAAGCTGCTTTTGTGGAGGAAAGCACCAAAAACCAGCAGCTGCAGACCCACCTCAACCCAGCCACTGCCTATTAACTTCCCGGCTGACATTTTGGGATAAAATTATTACATATTAATAAAATAGCTTCCCCCTCCCGCCCCATCTTTTCCTCTTTTAACAAATGAAATTATGACTTACTGAATTACTCTGCGGCTAAAAGGTTTCCATGACAATGGCATCTTCCAGGCGCACCAGCCGCAGCGCGGTGCCAGTGCCAGTCCCAGCCCCGGCACTCACCCCCGGCTTCATCCACCCCCCCGGCCCAAAATGGGGGAGATGAGCGAGTGCGAGGAGTCACGCCAAGAAATTCAAACCGTGGTGGGGCAGAAAGGATGCCTGGGTGATTGGGGAGGGGAGTCAGAATGAAATGAGTTGGGTGGGGTCTCGGCACAGGTTTTTTGGGTGGTCTGTCTGTGATAGCATCGCCCCCAGCCCCTCGTTGAGTGGCACCAGGACAACAGGTCCTGAAAATCCCTTTGAAGTAATTAAGCTGAGCCACAAATTAGTGGTTTGGAGACACGATTGCAGTGGATGGGGCAGGGATTTGGGGGCTTGGGGCTGCCCCAGGCCCTTTTTGGAGCTCTTGGAGGGGGCCAATTTCCACCCCTCCCCGACAAACCAGCACTTTTCACAGCTGTGTAATAAATCTGACTTTTATTTCCTTGCACCATCGACACCTGGAAGCTGCTGGCTTTGCCTCTGTCCTCGCCAGCCCCTTGCAGAGAGCACCCAGCCGGGTCCGTGGGGGTGAAATGCCCTGCAAAGCCCCGCACCCCCCCGCAGCAGGGTTGTCCCCCACCACTGCCCCTGGGTACCCGCAGCATCCCCCGTCCCCGGGACCCCCACCCAGCACCCGCAGCTCCCTGCACCCTGACAGGCGGCCAAATTCGGGTCAGGCATTGATGCTGCTCAACTGCTGCAAAATTCAGGGCCTGCAGATGGGTGGGGGGGTCGGAGCTGGAAACTGGGACCCCAACAGCTTCTTCTTCCTCCTCCTCCTCAGCACGGTGAGCCCCGGGGGACCCTCCACAGGCAAAGGGAGCCCATGGGGTGAATGGGACCCCAGTGACCCTTCCAGCCACCCTGCCCGAGGCGGCCGGTCCCTCGGCTGGCACCGGCGGGGGGGTTCAAGGCCATGACACGGCAGCACCAAGCAAACCCCGCTCCCTGCCCGGGCTCGTCCCGCCGGCTCCGGAGCGAGTCCCCTCATCCTCACGTGCTGGCCGCTGTCAGGACACCTGCGGGAAAAATATTGGGAGAATATTTCATGGGTGCCGAGTGATGCTGCAGGCTCGGGGTCACAGTGCACACAACTGGTGGGTGCATGGGGGGGCACCAAACCCTCTCCCCCACCCCAAGAGCCCCTCTGGGCCCCTAATAAACCACCCCTCATGCATTGATACGTACTCCCCCCCTCTAAAGGCTCCCCTCTTGGGGCTCCAGCATCCCGACCCCTTCCCTGCTCCCATTGGCCTTGCACCCAGCCCTGCCTCAGTTTCCCCGACAAAAGGTGGGAGTGGGGACACGGGGGACAGAGAAGGACTTACCGTGATGGTTTTTATTCGTCCCAGTCGTCTCATGCAGCTCCAGCCCGAGCGGTTTCGGAGCAGAGCGCACTGCTCCCCCTCCTCACACGGCTCCATCCCGCACCACTGCCGGCTGGCAATGAGCTGGGCTGCCGGAGGCGCGGGGGAGACAGGGACCCGGATATTTGGGAGGGGGGAGGCATGTGGAGAGGTGGAAGTGGAAGGAAAAATGGAGGGAGGGATGAGTGGATGGAGGGAAGGATGAAGCGGTGGGTGGATGGCGGGATGGATGGAAGGATGAAGGGAAGGATGGAGGGAGGGGTGATGGATGGGTGGATGCAGGGAGGGATGGGTGTGTAGGTGAATGGAGGGATACGTGTGTGGATGGAAGGAGGGGAGGGAGATGGATGAGAGGATGGAGGGATGGACAGGGGAGTGGATGGAAGGACACAGAGGGGAATGGATGGATGAAGGGATGGACAGGGATGGGTGAAGAGATGGAGGGAAGAAGCACATGAGCTCATCCAGCACAGGACCGATTTGGGGACCACAGAGAGAGACGTGCGCAGGGGACCACGCTCAAATTACGGGGAGAAAGTGGGAGAGAGAGATGGAGAGGACAGAGCGGGGGCAAAGGGATGGACAAGGGGCTGTCAAGGACTGCCAGGCACCGACTCCAGGCCAGAGCAGCCACCAGCCCCACTGCGCCAGCCAGGACCCACATCTCCAGCCATGGGCCGTCGCACCCTCTCTCCCGTGGGACCCCCACGGAGCAGCACTGATCCCCCCCTCCCCGGCATTGCCGTTACCGTCCACGCAGGCCGGCTTGGCGCGGGCGGTGCCGGCGGCTTGGCCGTGGCGGCAGGCGCAGCGTGCCGTCTGCCGGGTGATCGCCCGCCACGGGTGGCTCAGGTCCCGATCCAGCGCCGTGATCTCGCACGTCCCCATCTCCAGCTCCTGCCCTGCAAGGGGATGGGTGCGAGGGGGCACCCGTAGCGCTGAGCCCACTCGGGGCGGGTGGGGGGGCCTGGAACGACTTCGTCCAGGGCCAGGGTTCACCCATCCCCGGCACCACAATGTGCTGCTTTACCCACGGCTGGCAGACCCTCTCCCGCTCCAGCCTGGCCGAGAGGGTTTGCAATTTCATGGCAAACCCCAAATATCAGGAGGGAAAACCCCGAATGAACCTGGTTTGGGTGAAATTTTCTGGCAAAATCAGTCTCGGTCATTTCTGGGCTGCATGCAATGGGGTGTGCAATGTAAAGGAGATGCCATGTGTCACCTCCAGGTTGGTTGACCCCCTCCTCAGCTAAATTTTGGGTTATTTTGCTCTGCTTTTAAACTGATTTTTACGCACGAATTGCTTTCAAACCTTGAGCCCAAAACCAGCCCCAGCCTCATGGGAAGGTGGGACCGAGGATGGGAGCAGGGCAGGACAGGAGCTGCTGGGGCAGAAATGGTCATGGTCCCCTGCCTCATTGCCCACCTTTTGGGGCCAGGGCAATCCTGCCCACTGCCCAGCACCCTCCTAGCCTTGCAGGAGAGGATTCAAACCACTTTTCTCCCAGTTTCCCAGTCCTGCTGGGACACTGGGGACTGTGGCTGCACATGGGATGGTTTGAAGGTGGTGAAGTTCAGATGGGTTGGGGGGGGCAGTGTTTTTTGGGGTTTGGGGTGGGTTTATTGGGGTTTTTTCTTTCCGGGATGTGGGACCAGCACCCTCCAGCAGGGGTAGCGGCAGCCCCCGGGCCCGAGGGTCCCACAGCTGGGGGTGGGTGCAATGGCTGGGGTCCCTGCCCCGTCCCATCTGGGGGCACATCCCTGCCCGGAGCAACACCCTGGGGGTCCCCACAGTCTCGCAAGCAGCTGGGGGGCGGGGGGGGGGAGGTGAGGACCTTGCAGGGAGTGGGGGACACGTTGCCCAGAGCCCCCCCCAGCCCAGCTCAGCCTCCCTGGGCAGCTCCAATTCCACCCC